TGCCTTGCTATGATGCTATACAGTTTAGACTATTAGCTCAGTAGGTCAGGGACATTTTGTGTCATGTACGAGGCTGAGCACTTTATGCTTTATCAACTAATAATCTCTAGTCTGATTGAGTTACACTGATGGAGTCCATTTTTCTTGGAACAGAAAAATCTTTCTCAGAGTGAAACCCAACTTGGTAATCACAAAGGGCAAGCCAACAGCTATCAGGGGCCTTTTTTGAAAAGCTACCTCTTGACATACAGCTGTAGCATCCTGGCAAAGATCATCCAAAATAGAGATGAAAGAGGCATTGAAGCATGACAAGTTGTATGCTTCTCTCTGGATAAGCACGCACCTCAGATACACAATAAACCTTCAGACTGAAGGCCATCAATCAGGCAAACAGTGGGTGCATGAACACGTGAAATTAGTGCAGTGCAATAAACTCCAGCTCAGTTCACACCAGAGTTTATTGCTTCCAAGAGCAGAGTTTACATGTGCACCTAGGACCATAGCACATTGAGCCAGAGTAAAGCAACACCAGCTGGCAGGGGGCTCAAGGGGTCAGCCTACGAGCCTGGGGTTGCTCCATCCCAGTTAAACGTGCTGCAAAGGGGCTAGCTGAGGCACGAGGGTGGCAGGCAGGCAGGCAGCCCTGCACTGTAGCACCTTCGTGCCCCAGCCAGCCTCGATCACTGTCTACACGTGTGTTGCAGCAGAGTAAATAACTCTGCTGTAGAATAGTACTTGTGTTGGCAGTACTATTTTATGGTGGAGTTAATTAGTTTACTCCGGCCTACTAACACTGCACGTGTAGACAGTGACGCTTTACTGCAGAGCTAGTTAGGCAACTCAGCAGTAAGTGTCTCATATTGATGTTCCTAGTATTACTTTAATTCAATATGATAACGCCAAAAGGTTTTTAAAAGGAAAAATAATGTGGCCTTTCAAAGCCAGAACAATAAAGAATCTGAGAATGTTGATGATGCTGATCTTTCATCAAACTCATCATCTCACTGTGTTCTAGGCACACTCATGGGATGTAAACTCATCAGAGTTTGCACACCAGGCTAGGGTCTTGCCACAATCTGGTTTTGAGCTCCTCTTTAGGCTGTGGCACAAACTAGTACTGATTCAGTAGGTGTTGCTTCTGAAGAGAGATCACCGTGTTGCTGAAGATAAATGTACTGCAGAGTTCCTACAAAAAACTAGAACTCTTGGTTCCAAAATTATACCTTTTATTATACCAACTGGAAAATGGCAAGAAAACTGTAGAGTTCCTGACATTTAGGATGAGAGCATGAAGAAGTGCCTATTGATGTTTTCCCCAAGAAGAAGAAAGTTAACTTTAATGTCCTGACCAAATTCTAATTCTGGGCATTTTACCTACAAATAAATACAAATAAAAATCAGTTGAAGTTATTTTTCTCTACCCTCCTTTAAAAGATGTATTACCATATTTTCTCACACACGTACCATTCACCCAAAAGCCAGCCACTGGAAATTGGAGTGTGCATTATATGCGAGAAATACAGTAAAAGAAAGCCCTGCCACTGACTGTCTCACACCAAAAGTAAAATCTGCAGTTATCTATGAGGAGCAGAACAATGAGCAGACTGTCCCCTAACTACTGCCACTCAGTTACCTAGTGCAAGGGAAGACCCCTTTTCTTCACTCTGCTTTTCAAAAACAAGTTAAGTATTACATTCCAGGGCATGTTGTATGCAAGAAAATATGGTATATTCACTCGTGGATGTGGCAGTACTGAGGTGGTAAACAAGAGACTGAAAAGCTATCCAGGATCCTTCTGAAATGAAGAGACCACATTACTATTACTATTTTTGTGCAACCTTTATATGTTTTTTGTTGTAACCTAGGAAAAGGTGGTTTTAACAGTAGTTTCACTTGAATCAACAAGTATCTACAAAGTAAATAGGAGATTTACTTGCTGAGCCTGTCCAGGCTGACCGGGACAGGCTCAGCAAGTGGGCGGACGAGAATCTGATGGTGTTCAACACCGATAAATGCAAGGTTCTCCACCTTGGGGGAAAAAAACCCGCAGCATCCTTATAGGCTCGGCAGTGCTATGTTGGCTAGCACTATGGAAGAAAGAGACTTGGGGGTCATCATTGACCACAAGATGAACATGAGCCTGCAATGCGATGCGGCAGCTAGTAAAGCGACCAAAACGCTGGCTTGCATCCATAGATGCTTCTCAAGCAAATCCCGGGACATCATTCTCCCCCTGTACGCGGCCTTAGTGAGGCCGCAGCTGGAGTACTGTGTCCAGTTTTGGGCTCCACAATTCAAACAGGATGTGGAGAAGCTTGAGAGAGTCCAGAGAAGAGCCACGCGCATGATCAGAGGTCAGGGAAGCAGACCCTACGATGACAGGCTGAGAGCCCTGGGGCTCTTAGCCTGAAAAAGCGCAGGCTCAGGGGTGATCTGAGGGCCACCTACAAGTTTATCAGGGGTGACCACCAGCATCTGGGGGAACGTTTGTTCACCAGAGCACCTCAAGGGATGACGAGGTCGAATGGTCACGAACTACTTCAAGATCGTTTCAGGCTGGACATAAGGAAGAATTTCTTTACTGTCCGAGCCCCCAAGGTCTGGAACAGCCTGCCACCGGAGGTGGTTCAAGCGCCTTCATTGAACACCTTCAAGATGAAACTGGATGCTTATCTTGCTGGGATCCTATGACCCCAGCTGACTTCCTGCCCTTTGGGCGGGGGGCTGGGCTCGATGATCTTTCGAGGGCCCTTCCAGCCCTGATGTCTATGAAATCTATGAAATCTATGAGATGACTAGGCTTAGACTGAAAACATTTGAGTGCCAACATACTTTGAAACAGAAAATGTCAGTGAACATGTAAACAATTTGTTCCAACATCACCTCTATCATGATCTCCTTACTACTTACTCCTACTTCACAACTCCCCACCTCATTATGGGCTAAACTTCAATGAGTCTAGCCCTCATTATGGGCTAGACTACAGTCAGCCTAAAGGATGGGGTAGCACATAGCAGCGGTGATCCATGAGCTGATGCACGGTCAAAATTCCCTCCCCCAGCTTCCCTTCACATCAGGCAAGAGGCAGTATCAGTCACCTAGCATGCACTGACCAGTATGCTTAGGTGAGGAGGAGACAGAGCCAGGGCTTCATTTATTCCTTATCCTGCATGGGAAGAGATATAACAGGTCTGTGGACATAGTTTCCCTTGTTCACATTGGGACACACCAGGCACTGCCTATGCAGCAGCTCACAGAAGCACAGTAACTGTATGACAAGGGCAAATTCTGTCCCTTATTTGCAGAGCCTGGCAAGCTGAGTGACAGTTCAGTGGCCTGTAAACTCCATTTATTACAGCAGCTTAGTACAAAAATACAAGTTTTGACTCCTCCTGTTAAAAATAAACCAAAACCCAGCATTCAGTTCAATTCAGGAAATGAGTGTGTGGCATCCCTTGGCTGTAAAGTAGAGCTTGTCAGATTCCTAAGGTGGATGTGGAAGCGAGTTCTCTGGAGGCCATTCAGCCCGGATTAAATAACAGGATGCAAGAGTGTGAAAGTCAATTCCTGAATCCAATGGTGTGGTGGTGGTGGTGGTATTCGTGTGTCAAGCAACTAGTGGCTCACAGAGGAGATTCCCCAGTAGTGAACCATTGGCACAACAGCTCACTACCTGATCCCCTGCATGCGTTAACAAGTTTTTCCCTGAATGAGCGTTTACCCTACATATGCATTTACCTTCTGCTTTCACACCTAAAATGCCTGCTTTGCTTTAAGTTAGGATGCACCCTACTATTAGGCTTCAGTGCATTTCTGGTTGCTAGCCTTCAGGTGTTGTCTTGATATGGGGCCAGATCCTGAGCCAATATAAATTGGCATGATTTCATGTAATTCATCTGCACTATGCCAGGTTTTGTCCACTGAGAATTTTGCCCACAACACTTTTCCTCACCGCTTCCTCAATTTACAGTGCAGCCATGGAGTGAGTTGCATGGGTAGTGTGGTCTCTGGGGATCTGACACAGCAGGCAGCTCTGAGCATGTATGACCCTATCAGGTACTATATAGGAGTAAGCATGAACAGTCCTCTGGATGTGTGTGGGAGTGGGACAGAGAGAGTTATGTTTTTACCTTCAGCCATCCAGCTACAGTGCTAGCAAATGACTGTTCTGGATCTGCCCCGATGAGAACAGGTAGGTCAGTGTGTACCGAGACGGGCCTCAGATTCTGCTTTTCCCACTCCAGCTAGCATCTCAGTGGGTTTGCAAATCCACAGGTGTCTGAGGCTGCTCATGCCTCCACGTTGCTTGATTTCTCTTTGAAGGGTTGAACATTCTCCTACCACCCGGCATGTCTTGTGGGGGGGAACGTGTGGGAGCTCTGAATTTCTGCCCAGATCAGCATGTGCTCTGATCCCTTGCTCAGTTTCAGCAGCCTGGGACAGCTTAGTCCTCACTTTATGTTCTTGCTCGCATATATTGTCTCACTTAACATGCCTCCTGTTGTTTGGCTAATGCATCTCCTGTCACCTTTTCCTGCAGGCCAGTCCACATGTTCCCTTACCCCAGCTTACTCCAATCACGCTCATTACTTCTGTTCTGAGCCCCACTACAGGCATATCTTACATCTCAGCTATACCTATTACCTCATAATTTCCTGTATGGCTTACACCCCTGGTTTCACAAGCTTTGACTCTTGCTTACTGAGGGACTGGAACCTTTTAAGCCTATTTCTGCAGTCCCTATTGAGGCAAAATTCCCATTAGATTGCCAAACTGGGCTGTGTCAGTCAATGTTTAGAGGAACATAGGATTACAATGGTCACATAACTCTAAAGCTCGTTGAAGGAAAAATCTGGTTCATCATTGCTTGGATGCCACGTGGATATGCACTGCGGAAAATAGCAAGATAAACAGATATCAGGGGAAAATATCTCCTACAGTAAAGTCTGAAAAGACAGAGTAATAATCTTCTAAGAGAAGTAGTAAAAGTTTTTTTACAACAGAAATTACAACAGGAACTGGCAGTGCCCCCAAGAATATGCTATAGATAACAATGGTACATTGGTCAGGAACTGGAAATTAGATAATGATGGTTCTATGTCTGCCACACAGCGGTAAATATAACAATGCAAGTGTACTTTACAGACACCTTTTTAGCCTACCAGAGGATTTAAGATACCATATCATGCAGTCAGATTCTCTCTCATTTATACATATGGAACAGCACATTGGTTAGATATTTTGTTCTTTTTTTTTTAACGGGACTGTTGTTCAGAAATGCAATGATTACAAGACAAAGCAGAGTCTCACATTATGAGATGAGTGCTTTCACAGCTTAAGGTTTTATAGAACTTCAGCAGAAATACATATTCCAGTAACGAAAATGATGTTTTTTACTTGACAGACAAAAGAGGAAATAATTTTTAATTTTCAGCCCTGTATAAAATGGAGATCTTTAAGCAATAAGTATTTTATCAATTGTGTTCCTTATTCAAACATCAGAAATATCTACTAATTTAACACTGTGACCAAATATTGAAAGAAAGCCCTAGCAAGAATGACTGGTGTGCAATAAAATCAAGGGGGTCTGTGTTTTTTTTCAGCAGGCTAATGAATGAATACATGACGTCCACTGTGCCTCTGACATGACAGGCATATGGTGTTTATAAATAAATAAAAAGCCTGACAATGCAGTTACTTTGATACCACTGAATTCAGTAGCTAGTAGCATTTGGTTAACTGGTGAGCTGTCTACTCCTAGTTATCCTGACAGCAAGAATAAAATAAAATGTCGTGGTAAAAACAATTACTTTGAAGTGATAGCTTTTAGGGTTTCTTCTGTTAACTCATGTTAGTGAGTTCCCAAAAGAAATATTAGGAATCTTTTTATTTTATATCTTCAGGTGCATGTTTATCAATTATTTAAAATTACAGTAGGAGGGAATTAAGAGCTATAGAGCTGTGCTTTTAATATTAAGGGCTCAGAAACATCAGTAGAAACTAAGGATCAGATCCAAAAGAAGATATAGATTTATGAAATGGGACTTAGAAACCCAAATGCCATACAGGTCCAAAATTGAGATCCTGAACCCCCTGTCCTCCTGCCACCAAACCCTTGAGGCGCTTATACTCTAGAAATGCCATCATTTTTTTATTTAAAGATCCCCAGGTTCCTAAATTTCTGCTTGGGCACATGCCCAGAAGCACCTTGGCTCACCATTTAACTTATGCCTATGCCCAATCAGGTCCAAAAACTAGGCATTCATTCCTCTGCTTAGCTTTGCTGGACAGTGTCAAGCATGTGTTGGGCTCTATATAATATCCAGTGGTGGGCCCCATCTTGGGGTTAGGGAGCTCATCAATGATATCGGTAAGTGAGGTTCACGTCCCTCTGCCTGAGGGGTTTGGAAACCCAGCTCTCCCACACAAGCACCCTAACCATCAATCCGCAAGGTCATTATCAGTATTCACAATTAGACAGTTGCGTTTAAACTTCAAGTGTGCCTTTTAACAGGGACAGTTTTGAAAATGAAAGATACAGATGCCTGTGGGGGAAAAGAAATGATAAAATCATGGACTTTAATCAAAAGGCTTGATAGCAAAAGTGAGGATATAACTACTCTGTGGGAAAACCAACAAAATGTATCAAATGAAGTCCAGATTTTAAGACTCAGGAGGTTCATTTCTGACCTGAGACATATTCAGACATTCCCTGCAATTTGGTTCAGAGGATATGAAAAGTACTTTTGGTGAATGTAGAGCAGAGCTTGCAAACATACCTCCTGCTAAAGAAAATTCTAAAGTCAGGTGAGATTTCTAAAGGAAATAGGATCACTGGAAATCTCTGGCTTAATAATCTAGGGAGAGTATTTTTGCTAGTATACCAAAGGAACTGGCTTCAGAACTGCAAAAGAAGCCCATTATGGCAGATACAAAAAATTAAGGTACACTTACATGAGGAACCACTCAATGAAATTTAGTAGCATGTATCATACTGGAGAACAGACTGGATAAATAGGCCTTTGGGCCTTGAAATCTATCACTATTCTGTCATTAAGCAGACTTCTCCACAGAAATAAAAACTAAAGATTTAGTTTCAGAAGAAGGGAAAACAGCAAAATTAACTGGCTGAAGTGTCTATGCTATATGCAGGTGATTACTAGATTATACACTGCAGCCATAATGCATACAAGCACTAGTCAGTATTAAAACAATGGAAAAATATATCTGTGCTTCTCAGAGCAAAATACAAAGACAACCCCTTCTAAAAAGCTGCACATTTAGTCCTTTAAAGTAACCAGGGGACCAAGTTGTAGCATTACATGTTTGTAGGTAGTTTGTCTGAGGGGATTTTGATATTTGATATTTTGGTATTTGTTTTTTTGTTTGTTTTCATTAACACCTTTGCACCCCAATGTGAATTCATAAATAATCTAGCATACAAAAACTTGTAGCCGTTGTGGATAAAAAAAAATAAAATCTACCCCATAAGCACTATCAGTCAAAGGTACAGATCTTTCTATTTGAAGCTGGGATGCAATGTATTGGCCTGATCTACTCGCTGGTAAAGAAAAAGTTAGAATTCAATACCCAAGTGAAGAGATACAACAGAAGTGTACTCTCTTGGCAAAGACCAAAAAAGAGCAAACAAGTAAGATGTCTCAGCAGGAAATGACTGCCTCTCAAAAAGGAGGGAACAGTACCAGAAGTTAGTACAGCACAGGAAATAGCCCAATTGATTTATAAGTATATGTATTTAAATGTATTAATAATGTAGCTCTCTTATCTTTCTAGAGGTATAAAAGTAACAGATGCATTTAGCAAATGTTAGAAAGTAAAATAGTGGCAAAGTTTAAATTCTCTTTAACCATCACCTAATCAGGATTAACCCAAACCAAAACCCTCTCCCCACCCCCAAATCCACGTACACCTTTTGTGATATAGGCATGAAAGAGAACCTGTTTTCCTGCAGCAGGTTTATGTCTTAATTGTTGTGAACGGTTAGGGTGTGCAGGTCAGTCATTTCTGATCAGAGATGGATGGAAGACTCAGTTATACCTTAAAAAAAAAAAAAAAAGACACAAGCAAATGAACTTTTCAGCTGTAAATTCACCGGCTCAACAACAAGAGAAAAATACTTACTATAAAGAAGACAGCCTTTGTGAAACTGTATCTGATTCAGATCTTCAACCTTATCACAACTCAGAATAATTCTCCCTAATAAGATCCTTGTTCCAGGACAAAACCTCTTCACTAAAACTAACTGTGATCTATTAAGAGAGAAAGGGAAGCAAATGTGGAATCCAGGAGGAAGCTCTCTGAGGAATATGCAACTCCACTGGTTTTCCCCCTTGGAAAGCTTTTTTTTTTTTAAATAAACTATGATGCTATGGAACATATGCAGATATTTTCTCCAACTCCTGTTACACAACCATATCAACCAACCTTTTACTTTGACTGGACTTTGTAAATTCACTTAACAGTTTTGATATAGTTTGTTCCCTGATTAAGCCTAGACCATGGTGTTTTTTGCTCTGCTTGGTATTCACAGGTGCAGAAGGAAGCAAATGCTTACACATGTGCTGAACTCTGTGAACAAGTAGCCACACTGATAACAATTTACACCTTTCTTATGACTTTAATGGAATTAAACTCACATGCTTAAAGCTAAAGGTGTGCATGAGTACTTGCAGGATTTGGGGCACCAGTTACAAAATTAGGTATGTTAGCTGCAGTTGTGTACTATATGTATTCTTTACCCTAATGCATGTTATGTCTTGACTATTACAGCTCCCCAATGAGTGGGAGGGATGTGAACAGTTATGGGCTTTCTGTAGTTTTTGGTTAGGAGGTTTGATTGTTTATTTTCCCCAGCAAAAGTCCTAGATGTGGAATCCTTTTTCTCATAGATCTCGTAAAAACTTTTTAGCGAAAGGACTTTTTCCAGTGTCAGCTGCATTTACAGTAGTAGAACTTGCCAGTAAACCTGGTACTAATTTGAATAGCTTGCTACAGTGTCAGCTGGGAGAAAAAGAGCACATAACAAGTTTACTTGACACAGAAATGTGATCAGGTTCATAAAGAAGAGGCAACAAGATTCTCTACTGCTGTTGCCTAGGGTGTGCCTAATGTGGTCTCCAAGGCCCCGATCCAATCAAGACTTATGTATGTATTTATGTACTTAACTTTCTGTACAGAGAGTATGCCCATGACAGGTTCAGTCACCAGTTAGAAACTGTTGCCAAAAAGCTTCATGAGCAGAATTTAAGATGTGGATATCCCTCAAGGAACACTCATGTGTTCTCATATTGAAATATTTTGTAATTTATTTAGAGACCCAGCTCCTGGAATCCATGACTAAATGAGAATCTCTGCTTTCCATTGAAAAAAGGTTCTAGGCCCTCATGGTTACAGGAAAAAAAAAAAACTTAAAAAATGTGACCTGAGTGTCCCCTAAATGCTCAGAAAACAAAGACAGTATCAAAAACAGATTTTTTTTTGTTCTAATCAGAATCTGACTTTTAGGCAAATATAATGATTTGGGGAGGAGGGGCTGACTCATAATTTTTTAACATATGGTGTCTATAATATTATACACCAACCATCTTTAAAAGCTAATATGTTTCTTATACATTCATACAGAAACAACACCAAAAATATGGAAAGAAAAGTAAATTACTAAAAACAAGGAAGGGGAAGCGCTTCTCAGTGCAGCATTTTGTGGCTTATCATTCCCTCTGTGCGCTCATACAATTCATGTGCATCAAGAATGAGGGGAGGAGACCTTTCAATCTTCAATATTGTACACTAGGGGGCACTGCCTTAACAGTCTATTAATTAGGCTCCACATAACTAGGTGGTATAAGTGGTCTGATTTTCAAAGGCACTATGGCCTCTGAAAATTGCAGTTGAACAATCTTTCATCCTGAATCTTAAATTATTCGCTATGGTGGATTTGTTTTGCAATATTATCTATATCTCTATATCTATAGGGGACAGGACTAGGAGTGATGGCACAACCTGTAGCAGAGGAAATGTAAGTTGCAGATTAGAAAGAACTTTTTATGAGATTGGTTAAACATTGGAACAGGTTACCTAGAAAAAATGTGGAATCTCCATCCCTAGAAAGTTTCAAGACCAGTTTAGACGGACACTTAACCAAGATGGTTTAGTCAGGGTTGGTCCTGCCGTGAGCAGGGAACTGAAGTAGAACACCTCATGAGGTCCTTTCCAGCTCTAGTTTCTTATGATCCTATGATCTGTACTTATATAAATGCTGACATCTACAACAGTAAAGGACAATAGGCACTGTTGTAGTATTTATTATATTAAATGGTAACTACTTTTAGTCACATTAGTCATGACTTGTAATCCTGAAAAAAATTATGTTTAAACTGTATTTTTAGGAGTACTTATCAGCTGAAAGTTTGGGTTTTTTTGTACTATGTAGCACCATCAGAACCTTCCATTATTTTAATCTATGTATGCCATAGCTCCCCTGAAGTCAAAATCTACCATTGCCCCTCCCGCAACCCCAAACACCTTGATATCTGAGCGCTACAAATGGGAACATGCAAAAGAAATGACTTGATCAATAAATTGCTGGCTGAGATACAGAGCTCAATTGTACGAAGTGCTGAGCACCTTGATCCTGATCCAGCATAATGCTAAAACAGGAAAATAATCCTGATTGGACTGCTCATGTCTATAAAGTTAACTATGATCCTAAATGTTTCAAGCATCAGGGACCAAAACAATGATGAAAATGTCTGAAGAAAGCAAACTATTCATGTATCAGTAACCAGTGTTTGCTGCAAACTAGTTTCCAATCACATTCAATATTTTTCTTGAAAAGACCAACTGTGATAAAATCATATTGCAAATTACTCCTACATTAAATCATTATGTCCTCAGATTATTAGACACTCCAATCCTCCCAGGGGATCTTTATGCACAGATTCCTCCTGTCTAAAATATATATAAAAATCAATGGAACATGACAACAGATATAAGAATCTTGATTTGCAAAGCACTTTGGGCCAGATCACTATCAATTATTAGAAATCCTCATTGCCTTCAATAAGAAGTTTTGATTTAAAGAAAAAAAAAGCAAGGTAGTATGATAAATCACTATGATTGAAAAATGCCTTCAGCAGCTTTGGCTTGCAAAGCATGGAGGGAAGAAATCAGAATATCCAAAAGTCTAAACAACTCAAAATGTACAATTTGAAAAGTTTGGGTATGAATCACAAGCATCATATTATTCTCCAATTCATAAAAGAACCATAAGAGGGGGGAAAAAAGATAGGTACCTAAAGCCAATACCTGAAAAGCTGCTGAAAATGACTTTTTGCTGAAAATGTGCTTTTGGTGGAAAAACTTGTACCAAATATTTAAGTTCAGCCCAAAAGTAATATTATGCCCAAATTGTTAGTGTATAATTATGTAGAGACCCCATTTTTACTACAGAAATGGTACTATGAGTGGTGCTTCTGACATTGAAGTATTTTTTCCATACTTTTCAATGAATTTTCACTTTTCAGTTCTATGTTATTTCTATGCATTTATCTATCCTGTGTTTTGCTTCTTAAAAACATTTTTATTTCAATCTCAAATTGAAACAACCTAGAGTAACTTTGTGCGTGCTATTCATAAGGATGGCTGGAAGGTCCCAAACCTACCCTTAAGTTACCATAGATACTGTATGTAGTAATGATAAAAGCAACACCTTAGGGACAACTGGCTGCTTTAGTGGAAAAATTCTTGACTGCTGGGAATCAGGAAATAGATAATTTGTAAGCAGGTTTTTTTTGCAGACTGGCTAAATGTTGTGCACCCGATTACTGAAAACAGGTAGTTAGCTGTGTTAGTCTTAAATTAGGCAGAAGGCAGGGTGGTAACTAGTTCAGAGAGGCCTGAGCTTTGTGGGTGACCATCTACTTAGCATCTGACAAAGTAGCCTGTTCCCTATGAAAGCTTAGGCTTCGCTGAACCAGTTACACTAAAAGTGTCAGTCTGCTCTGCCTGATTACTGGAGAGAGATTGTAAACTACAAGTAGTCTATACAGTCTTTCCTGGAGAGAACCATATTGTATAACAGGTTATTAGAAAGTTTGGGAGTGGAATTATCCCATAGGGATGTTTTTGCCAAATGCTGTACAAAATGAAAGCTGACAAATCCGTACTTCATGGCAATGGTTCTCAAGCTCTGCAGACTCAAGGCACCTGTCAGAAAATGCCAGCTTTTAGCTTTCATTCAGTTTTTTTGACTACAGAAAAATGACACAACCATTCTTCTGTTGCAAAGAACTCAGAAAGCCCATGATGGGTCAGCTTTGACACTACAGATTCCCATCTGAAATCTCGGGTTTATCTTGTGACTTGTGCATTGGCGCTTGCACACCTAACACTGCCAATCACGTGCGACATCCTTAATAGGACCTTGCAACACCCTGGTTGAGAATCACTGCTTTATAGGTAGATGGCAAACTTCACTCTTCAAGGACTGGCAGGCATTCCTGGCTAGGCAAGTGAGAGAAATTAATGTAATAGTCCCCCTCACATGCTAAGAGGCAGCTTCTAAGGAGGAAAAGAAGCAGCCCAGGAAGTACAGGAAGGCTAACAGCAATTAGCAGGGGTATGAGGGGTAGTGGTTTTCAAGCTCTGCAGACTCAAGGCACCCCTCAAAAAATGCCAGCTTAGCTTCCACTCAGTGTTTTTACTACAGAAAAGCAACGAAGCTGTTCTTCTGTGGCAAAAAACTTAGACCATAGCAAGTCAGGCAAGTTTTGGTACTAGAGATTCCCATTTGAAATCTCTGGGATTTCTCTTGCGAACTGTGTGCTGGTGGTGACACACCTACCAATGCCAACAGCATACAGCACCCTTCTGAGGACCCAGTTGAGAATCCCCGCTGCCTGGGCAGGTGGCACACTTCAGCCTTCAAGGACCTGCTGGCACTATTGGAGAGGAAAGTGAGGGTGACCCCCTCTGCCCCTTACCCACTGCGAGGCAACTTCTGCTCCTATGGAGGAGGGGAAGAAGTCCAGGAGCAGGGAAGGCTAGTAGCCGGGACCTCCAGAGGTCACCTCATCCCGAGGCAGGACTAGCCCTATGCCAACCATCATGTAAACCAGTTTCTCAACCTTTTTTGTACCAGGACCCATTTGTAAACATCAATGGCCAGTCCCAACCCACTACCCCCCAGCCTTGCAATATATGGGCCAGGGGGTGGGTGTACTGTACCTAGACTCCTGGTGGCCCTGGGCGAACTTTTAGTATCAGGCCCCCCTTCACCAGAGATGATGATAATAATCATTATTTTCACCATTTTCAGGGCCCCTTTTTCTGTCCGGCCCCTGGACAGCCGCCTGGTTTGCCCATGCCTGTGTCTGGCCTGGTGTGTAGGACATGAATGCCACATGCCGCTGGCGGCTGCGGGGGGGGCATAGCGAGCTCTTGCAGGCAGTGGCGCTGTTGGTGGTGGGAGCATGGTGGCGGCAAGCGGAGAGCTCGCACAGGCGGCTATAGCGCTGTTGGCAGCTTGGGGGTGGGAAACACTGACCAGAGGTTGGTGACTACCCGCAGACGCCACCAGCAGCAATTGCGGACTGCCTGCAGGCGCCCCGGCGGTGTTGGTGGTGAGGGGCAACCACCCACAGGTGCCACTGGCCGTGTAGGCAGCGCCTTTTCACAGGGGGTGCACTGCCACGCTCAGGGGTACATGTGCACCCCTATGTATCGCCAATGGTGTAGGGCATGGGGGGCCCCCCGCACAGCCAGGGCCTCTGCCAGCCCGCAAGGGGAAAGCCACGGCTTCCCCCCTTTTTTCTCTTTTAGAGGAGAATCCCTCTTGTAAAGTTTGTTGCTCCGCGTTGGCAGCGCGCCGCCTGCCCTTTCGTATACCCTTGCCACCCACGGGCGCGGATGAAGAGCCTGGCGCGGCGGTCGGCTCCCGGCCTGGGGGTCGGAGGGCGGCGGGGGAGCGAGGAGACGGGGTCCCGCTTGGGAAGCGCTGCGCTGCGGGACGCTGCCGGCCCGGCCCGGCCC